TGCCATTCACAATTGCTACAAAGAGAATAAAATACCTAGGAATACAACTAACAAGGAACGCAAGGTCCTCTTCAAGAAGAACTACAAACCCACTGCTCAACGAAATAAGGGAGGACACAAACAGATGGAGGAACATTTCTTGTTCATGGTTAGGAAAAATCAGTATTGTGAAAATGGCCATACTGCCCAAAGTAATTTACAGATTCAACGCTATCCCCATCAAGCTACCAATGACCTTCTTCACAGAACTGGAAAAACCCAACTTAAACTTCATATGGAACCAAAAGAGAGCCCACATAACCACGTCAATTCTAAGCAAAAAGAACAAATCAGGACGCATCATACTGCCAAACTCATACTACAAGGCTACAGTAATCAAAACAGCATGGTACTGGTATCAAAATAGAGATATAGACCAATGGAAGAGAACAGAGGGAACACAACATATCTACAACCATACAACCTTGGATAAACCTGACAAAAACCAGCAATGGGGAAAGGATTCCCTGTTTAATAAATGGTGTTGGGAAAAGTGGCTAGCCATGTGCAGAAAGCAGAAACTGGACCCCTTCCTGACACATTACACTAAAATTAACTCCATATGGATTAAAGACTTAAACATAAGACCTGGCACCATAAAAACCCTAAAAGAAAATCTAGGCAAACCATCCAGGACACAGGAGTAGGCAAGGACTTCATGACCAAAAGCACTGGCAACAAAAGCCAAAATAGACAAATGGGACCTAATGGAACTCCACAGCTTCTGCAGGGCAAAAGAAACAGTCACTAAAGTGAATCGGCAACCAACAGAATGGGAAAAAATTTTTTGCAATTTACGCATCTGACAAAGGCTGATATCCAGAATTTACAAAGAACTCAAACAGATTTACAGGAAAAAAAGCCCATTTAAAAAGTGGCATAGGATATGAACAGACACTTTACAAAAGAAGACATATACGAGGCCAACAATCATATGAAAAAATGCTCATCGTCACTGGTCATCAGAGAGACGCAAATCAAAACCACATTGAGATACCATCTCACGCCAGTTAGAATGGCGATCATTAAAAAAATCTGGAGACAACAGATGCTGGAGAGGATGTGGAGAAAAAGGAACACTTTTACATTGTTGGTGGGAGTGTAAATTAGTTCAACCATTGTGGAAGACAGTGTGGCGATTCCTCAAGGCCTTAGAAATAGAAATTCCATTTGACCCAGCAATCCCATTACTGGGTATATATCCAAAAGACTATAAATCGTTCTACTATAAGGACACATGCACACGTATGTTCATTGCAGCACTGTTTACAATAGCAAAGACCTGGAATCAACCCAAATGTCCATTGATTTGGGAAAATGAGGCACATATACACCATGGAATATTATGCAGCAATCAGAAATGATGAGTTCGTGTCGTTTATAGGGACATGGATGAATCTGGAGAACATCATTCTCAGCAAACTGACACAAGAACAGAAAATGAAACACCGCATATTCTCACTCATAGGCGGGTGATGAAAAATGAGAACACATGGACACAGAGAGGGGAGTACTAAACACTGGGGTCTATAGGGGGAAAAGGGGAGGGCCAGTGGGAGGGGGAGTTGGGGAGGGATTGCCAGGGGAGAAATACCAAATGTGGGTGAAGGGGAGAAAGCAAACAAAACACACTGCCCTGTGTGTACCTATGCAACTGTATTGCATGTTCTGCACATGTACCCCATAACCTAAAATGCAATTAAAAAAAAAAAGAAAATAGGGAAACAATATAATAAACAAAACCAAATTTATTATTTGAAAAGATTTACAAGAGTAACAAACCTTTAGCCAGTGTGAGAATACAAATTAAAAATAATATAATAAATAATTCCCTCAGTGGCTCTCCCTTTTCTCAGAACATTTGCTTTAGAAAATTGTAATTGCTTTTCCTTTCTTTTTTTTTTTTTTTTTTTTTTTTTGAGATGGAGTTTTGCTCTTGTTACCCAGGCTGGAGTGCAGTGGTGCGATCTCGGCTCCCCGCAACCTCCGCCTCCTGGGTTCAGGTAATTCTCCTGCCTCAGCCTCCCGAGTAGCTGGGATTACAGGCACGCGCCACCATGCCCAGCTAATTTTTTGTATTTTTAGTAGAGACGGGGTTTCACCATGTTGACCAGGGTGGTCTCGATCTCTTGACCTCGTGATCCACCCACCTGGGCCGCCCAAAGTGCTGGAATTACAGGCTTGAGCCACCGCGCCCGGCCTGCTCTTCCTTTCTTTAAAAGTATGTAAATCTTTCTGAAAACTAGATAAGCCTTTTGTCAGCTTTATAACTACATTAGTCTGTTCTCACAGTGTTTAAGTAATTTACAAAGAAAAGGGTTTTAATTGACTCACAGTTTTGCATGGCTGAGGAGGACTCAGGTAACTTACAATTATGCTGTAAGATGTAGGGGAGGCAAGGCACATCCTACATGGTGGTAGGAAAGAAGCAAAGGAAGAAATCCAAACGCTTTTAAAACTATCATCTCTCATGAGTACTACCTCAGTATCATGAGAACATCACAGGACAAACTGCCCCCATGACCGTATCACCCTCAATCTGGTCCCTCTCTCAAAACGTGGGGATTAAAATTGGAGATGATATTTTAGTGGGAACACAGAGCCAAACTATATCTCCTAATTCCTCCTATTTCTCATGTCTTTATCATATTTGAAAACCAGTAATGCCTTCCCAACAGTCACCCAAAGCCTTAACTCAGTTTGACATTGATGCAGAAGTCCAAGTGTAAAGTTTCATCTGAGAAAGGGGAAGTTCCTTTCGCCTATGAGCCTGGACAAGTTAGTTACTTTCAAAATACAATAGTAATACAGGCATTGGGTAAATGTTACCATTTAAAATAAAAGAAATCGGCCAAGCAAAGAGGACACAAGCCTCAGGCAAGTATGAAACGTGGCCAGGCAGTCATTAAATCATAAAGCTCCAAAACCTCATTTGACTCTATGCTTACACCCAGGGCATACTCATGATACTAAGGGTGAGCTCCCACAGATTTGGCCAACTCTGCCCCTGGGGCTTTGTAGTGAACAACCCCTGTGGCTACTTTCATAGACTGGTTTTGAGTGCCTGATAATTGGAGTACTGTGACTTATCTTGCACAATGAAAGAAACAAAAGGATTAAGAGGCTACTATACTATCTATATTATGGCCAAGTATACGCCCAACAAGTTAGATAATTTAGAATAAATGAAGAAATTCCTGATACAAACTACCAAAACTGACTTAGGAATAAATACATTATAAATTAATAATCAAAATTAAATCCTTGCAAAAACACAGGGAAAAAGGGACACTATGTAATTAATTCTATGAAGCCAGGATTTTATTTATCCTAGACCCAGTCATCACAAGAAACTACAAACTGATATATCTTAACACAGATGCCAACATTCTAAACATAATAGTAGTACAACAAATACAGTTAACTAAATGATCGAATACCATAACCCAGTGGAATTTTTCCTGAAATAATTTGACCACCACAGCCAGTCCATTTGAGACATTTGGTTAAGTCATGATATACTGCAAAATTCAGAGGCTTAGGCAACAGATCTGGTGTCTGTACTGATATGGTTTATGGTGAGATAGAGAAGACAGAGATAGAGAAAAGTAGGCCGCGGGTGGTGGCTCATGCTATAATCCCAGCACTTTGGGAGGCCCCGGCAGATCACGAGGTCAGGAGTTCGAGACCAGCCTGGCCAATATGGTGAAAACCCATTTTGTCTACTCAGCGTCTGTAATCCCAGTTACTGTGGAGGCTGAGGTAAGAGAATCGCTTGAAACCAAAAGAAGGATCTTCCAGCGAACCGAGATCTGGCCACTGCACTCCAGCCTGGGCAAACAGAGCAAAACTGTCTCAAGAAAAAAAAAAAAAAAAAAAAAAAAAAGATGGAGAAAAGTAATAATCATTCGGAACATAGGGGTCCTTGTCCTTCACCAGTCCTCCAATCTCATTGTATAAGAGCAAGGACTTGTTTTAGGAGGTTATAGGTAAATGCCACAGTAAGTTGTGAAACTGGAAGACTGTTGTTTGTTTGTTTGACACGGACACGGAGTCTTTCACTGTCACGCATAATGTAGGGCAGAGGGGCGATCTCGGTTTACGGCAAACTCCGCCTCCTGGGTTCAAGCTATTCTCCTGCCTCAGCCTCCTGAGTAGCTGGGAATACAGGCATGTGCCATCACGCCCAGGTAATTTTTTTTTTTTAATTTAGTAGAGACCGGGTTTCACTACGTTGGCTACGATGATCTCCATCTCCTGACCTCGTGATCCGCTAGCCTCGGCCTCCCAAAGTGCTGGGATTATGGCAGTGAGCCACAGCTCCAGACCCGGAAAGATGGTTGTTTTTTTTTATTATTTATTTATTTATTTTTGAGACAGCGTTTTGCTGTTTCGCCAGGCTGGAGTGCAGTGGCGCGATCTCGGCTCACTGCAACCTCTGCCTCCCAGGTTCAAGCAATTCTCCTGCCTCAGCCTCCCGAGTAGCTGGGACTACAGGCGCGCGCCACCACACCAAGATAATTTTGTATTTTTTAGTAGAGACGGAGTTTCACCATGGTCTTGATCTCTTGACCTCGTGATCCACCCGTCTAGGCCTCCCAAAGTGCTGGGATTACAGGCGTCAGCCACCGCAGCCGGCCCGAAGACGGTTTTTTTTACAAAGCGGTAGACCCCACCACCCCGCTCCTTCCGTTCCTTCCGCCTTCTCCATGCTGAGTCTAGTCCCGCCCCGCCCCGAGTTTTTTCGTGGACCAAACTCTTTCTTATTGACTTGATCTACTACGTCAGTCATTTGGCCACGCCTCCGACATAGAGAAGCGGTTGGGGGCGGGGGAAGTATCGTAATTAGTTTCGTCGCCTTTTGCTGGCGTCATAAAGTGCCCGTCTGAAGTGTGTTACAGAGCTCAGTAGCCAGTCTCTTCGACGCGCCCGTCTGCGACATCTTAGTTCAGGCTGCTGTGGAGTAGTAACCGCCAGAAAGGAGTCGGAAGAGGTCACACGAGGCCCTTAACACCAGCATGCCCAAGAATAAAGGTAATCCTGCAGGCCTCTGGGACTGTACCTCTGCCTGCTCTGCCATTAATCTCGACGTCTGTTCCAGGTCGCAGTGACGGTTCTTCCCGCGGGTATTGGGCGCCGCGCCCCTTCTTATGTGTTAGGGAAAGACGCTGGGAACACTCAGTTTGGTCACATTTGGGGTGGGACAGCCGCCATGTTTATGAGGCCTTCGGAGGATCGTGGGCTTTTGAGACTGATTCATACCAGACTTACCGTGTATAGGAAGAGACGATTGAGGGACCTTATCCGGAAGGCCTGGCCTTCAAGTATAGGTTCCTACCAACTTCCCTGCTACTTTCCTGAAGCAGTTATTCATTTTGAAGACTATCCGGACAGTTAAAAGTGTTGTTAAGGATATTCCCTTTTTTGTGTTAAACGGTGAGGAAACCTTGAAACATGTTTAGGTTCATCTCTGGCGTTTTACTCTGCCCCAGCTCTTTAAAAAAGTTGATCATTCTTTTGCAGAAGATGTGTTACATATTTAGGCAAGTTTTCAACTTCCTTATCAAATAAATATTGTGGGAATAAAGACATAAAGGTTACCTTCATTCTGCGGCTAAATTTTCACACCAAGCTTAGACTTGAATGTAAGTTTACTTACAATTATAAAGTGGGAGGCCTAAGGAGAGGTTAGGCCTTTAAGTTGTAAGTGAACTTATTTTTCAGATAGCACTGAACAACTTCAGTAGTTATCTTGTTTCCACCTTTATTTCTGTTGATGAGATTCACAGTTCTCTTAAATAAGCTATCAACTAAAGATCACAGTATCCCTTGCAAAGTGTCCAATAAATCTTTGTTGATGTTACTGTACCTGTACCTGACACCATTCCTTAAATAGTAAGGCTTGCTTTGTTCTTGTAGGGTAGAACTTTTACACTGAATGATGCCTAAGAATATTCTCATTAGAAAGAGTATCTCCAAAACACATCTAAATTGTTTAAGTAGGAGGTGTGGATTTTTTGTTCTTAGAAAGGAAGATTAAAAAAGAATATTAAACGACTTTAATTGTGGTATGTGCATGCCTAGTCTCATTCTCTTAAAAGATAGTGAATTCTATTGCACGACATTACAATAAAAGGAGAATCATAAGGGTTTGGTTAATTATGGTAGACTGAGAACAGTTTTTTTTGGCACTTAAAAGAAAGATATGTCTAAGAATTACAGCACAGATTCATAAAGTCCTCTGCCACCACTCCCCATTTTTTCTTCTTGAGATAATCCCCATCCTAAATGGAATGTTTTTGTTATTATGTAAAATCGGTGTTATCTGCTGGGCTTATTCGTTGAAGGATACTGCGGAAGACCCGTATTTTATTAGACTTACTAATGTAGAAATAAAAGTTGCTAATTTGGTTTTCTTGTTGTTGTTCTTTTTTATCTGAAAATCCAGATGCCTGTTAATATTGTGATGAGGTTTATCCAAGTAAACATGTAAATGAGCATGGGCCATATGTAGTGTGACTTTTTCTTTGCACTCATTCAGCTGGTTTTCTTCCGAAGTCTTAGAAACCAATCCTCACATCGGGAAACGGGCAGCCTTTGGCCTACTCCTGAAGAGATAGACCAAGGTGCCTCCACCTTTGAGATTGCGATATGCAATTTAAAAGTTGCCATTAAGCATTATTTAGTCATTTGAAAAGCTGCCAAACTTTTGTAAAACTCAGTAAGCAAAGCAGGTATGATCCTTGTCCTGACACCGCTAAGTTCAGGCAAGATTAATGACTCAAAATATAGAACGTGTTTTTCTTTTAGAAATTTAGTTTTGGTGTGTGCTAAGAATGGATCAAAATGTAGACGAGTCACTTTGATTTATAGTGGCACACAGTACTGTAACTGCCCCTGAGGTATTGGATGCATTCAAGAATTAGATGTCTGAGTTTACAGTGGTCAAGTATGTAAATTTTATTTTATTTGCAGTGTTATCTTTTTTATTCAGATTCTTCCATCGATCCTTTAATATTACTTGATTTGCGGTCTTTAACCCTCCTTTTGGAAACCACTGCTATTTTCATTAACATTCGGTAATGGGGACAAAATGTTACGGAAAATTACCCCAATTCCTTGGTGATTCAATAGAAAATCCTTTCGCTTATGTGTAAATATAAAAATGGAAAGAAATGTGATGGCAGTTGAAATAGTTGATCTAAAGAGTAAGGAAGTGAATTTGTAAACTTTTAACTCAGAAATTCTCCTTGTGTTCATTTACCTTATGAAGGTTGTTTGCAGACAACCTTCAATGCAGCATTGTGTCATAATAGTGAAACATTGAAGAAATCAAGATACAGCATTAATATACTTTAACAGTTAAAATGTTGGCCCAGGTCTGCAGCTATTGTAATGGAAAGATACTCAGGACTAATTATTGAGTAGAGTTAAAAGATGCTATAGAAGAAAATGAATAGAGTCCTGTTTTTATTTGGAAAGCATGAACAACATCTTCACAATAGTTCTTTGAGTAATAAAATTTTTCTTTATACAGTTTTACATAAGATGTACATTTATCTCAGAAGTATCCAAACAAATGTCCAAGAGGATAGTATTGATATGTACCTGGTAAAAGACTTAAAGAGAACTCTGACAAGTTAATTCTGTAATGTTAATGTTGTAATGTAAATACATTTAAACAGATAATAAATCTGTTTAAATGACACATTTTCAATTTTCCTGCAAGTGGTTTCAAAAGCAAACTTCAAAAGTCTTCTTTTGTATTATAGTTTAATGTATATAATATGTAGATTTTTACAGTGAATTTTTTATCTTCTTTTTAAATTAATTAGGTAAAGGAGGTAAAACCAGGCGCAGGGGTAAGAATGAGAAGGAATCTGAAAAAAGAGAGTTGGTGTTTAAAGAGGATGGACAAGGTAAGACTTTAAGTTAGGCTTCTTTTATTAACATGTTTCATTGTTGCCATGAGTATAATTTTCTGTCTTTTTCTTAAAGGAGTCTTAGTCATTATGCTAAGCAGTTGTCCTATGTTTCCATTTTTCCTGTTGTCATTTCTCATCATCCACATTTATCTAGAATTTGTTTATTAAATAATAATTTCTAGGATATATTAAGTCTGGATAGAGGATTCATTTTTGCAAACACAGTTTCATTGTTTAGCGTGGAGGAATACAATCTAACTGATTGCTGTAATCCCAGCCTTTTGGGAAGTGAAGTGTTTCACTTGCTTAAAGCTGGGAGCAATAGGGCAGAACCCTGTCTCTACAAAAATAGTAATAATAATAATGAGGCATAGTAGTACACGACAGGAGTCCGAGGTACTCCGCGGGATTAGGGGAGAGGAGGGCTTAAACCCAGGAGGTTAAGGGTGCAGGGAGCTGTGAGGGCATGACCGTATTCAGCCTGGGTGACAGACCAAGACCCTGCTCGAAACAAAAAAAAAGTTTAGAGCAAATTAAGCATAGACTGTGATGATTAAATATTTCATATGTTGTTAATGCGTAATGTCATACACTATTAGTAGACCATGGGTATTTTTTAGGATAAAAATCATAAAACCTTTTTGAACCCCAAGTGCTTCACTGCCACTAGTACTTAATCATAAAATGTAATACTATATATATAATATATATATATATATTTTTTTTTTTTTTAATGGTCTTGTTTTCTCACCAGGTGCCAGGCTGGAGTGCAGTGGCAGAATCTTGTCCCCCTGCAACCTCCACCTTCTGGGTTCAAGCAGTTCTCCTGCCTCTGCCTCTCAGTAGTTGGCACTGCAGGCGTGAGCCACCACACCCAGCCAATTTTTGTATTTTAGTAGAGTTGGGGTTTCACTGTGTTGGCTAGGTTGGTCTTGATCTCTTGACCTCGTGATCTACCCGTCTTTGCCTCCCAAAGTGCTGGGATTACAGTGTGAGCCACCATGCCCAGCCTGTAATACAGTTTTAATAATTGACTAACCCCACTGGATTGATAAAAGGAGATACAAAAGAACAAAATAAATTCATTGGTGCATTTGATTTTGTCTTCATTTTTTCTTTTTAAAATAATGAACATAGGAAAAATTTGAAATATTAGTACACAACAAAATTGTAAATATTCCTCACCTGAATTTACTAGTTTTTAACACATCGTTTATTTCTATCTTTGCATTTCTGCATGTTTACACATTTTTCTGACCATTTTGATTTTCTATACAGATAACTAGTAACATGAATTTACAGGCCTCAGACCTAAATACTTCAATGTATATCTTCTAAGATGAAGCACATTTCTTTCTCTAACTACAGTAGAATTATTGCAACAAATTTAACTTTAATGTTATATTGTTTTTAACTTTTATACTATGCTGTTTCAAATAGGTACCACTAACTACATATGACTGTTTAGATTAGCTTACAGTTTAATAGTTCCCTAACAGGACATTTTGTGAAGAGTCCTAATCTCTTAGATAATCTATATTCAAATTTCTCCACGTTTAATTATTTTCAGCATAAATACATTATTTAATATTTATGACAAAAACTATGTATGTTTCTATGTTGAATTTTTGTTAGTCTTTTATATTCTAGATAGAAGCCACTAAAAAGTTAACATGTTTTAATTATATGAAACTTATTTTCTTTAGCTATCATCTTTCATTTCTAATAGATATTGACTGTACTTTCAGGACCAGGTTTTTAATTTCCATTTGTTCTTATTTTATTGTTATTTTTATCCATGTTGCAGAAGTGCTTAATGATAAGCTGGGCTCACCGACTTCTGTAAAATGAACTCAGTTGCCACATATATAACAACCTCTCAATGTAGCTTTATAAATTTATCTCTTAAATGTAATTATGTGTTAGTCGACATTCTCTTGGATAGTTCTTTTTTTTTTTTTTTTTTTTTGAGACGAAGTTCTGCTCCTTACCCTGGCTGGAGTGCAATGGTGTGATCTCGGCTCACCACAACCTCTGCCACCTGGTTCAGGCAATTCTCCTGCCTCGGCCTTCTGAGTAGCTGGGATTACAGGCATGCACCACCATGCCCAGCTAATTTTTTGTATTTTTAGAGTAGAGACGGGGTTTCACCATGTTGTCCAGGATGGTCTCGATCTCTTGACCTCATCTCATCTACCCACCTCGGTCTCCCAAAGTGCTGGGATTACAGGCGTGAGCCACCACGCCTGGTCTTCTCTTGGATAGTTCTAAGAAGAAACCTTATTAGTGTGAAAATTTTGGAATTGTCTGTTTCCCTCTATTTCCTTTGTTTGTTTTTTTCTCTTTCCTGCCTCTTAGAAGAGAATGGCTGTACTGGCTAATGCTCATATTCTTATAAGAGTACTTTCTAGTAGCAGTGGAATCAGGGCACTTTTGAAAGTATTTCCCATAAACGTGTTACATTTTACTTAGGAATGTCACTCCCATTTTTCAAGATTCAAGAACTTAAGAATAATCACTGAGATAGTCTAAAGTAAATGGGAATTTTTAATAGTTAGGCTATAATTTGTCTCAGTCATTTCTGAGATTAAGGATGGTGAAGATTGAGTTAGGGCTCATGTGGGGAGACTGATGAAGGGTTATAGTGTATATTATGAAATGAGCCACTTCGATGTTCCAAACTAAAGTGTATGAAAAACAACTGTTGACATATTCAGAATGGGTAGGTAGTTAAAATGCCTCTACTAACGGATATAGCTTGTCATGGAAATGGCGTTTGTAACACTAAACAAGTTACTTGACTTAGGCTTTTATTTATTCTAAAAATAAAGGTGTTAAAGTAAATATGCATAGCTGGGACTCCGGTTTCCCTACCATAATATGTGACATTTTGAAATAGGACTGTCTGAATGAATTTCTTAAACTTTTTGCTGTTTGTTTTATTCTGTTTTTCTTTGTAGTTTGATCTGATTTAGCAGTTAGTGGAGCTTTTATTAACAGATAATTTTCTTCTGTTTTTTGTTTTAGTTTTGTTTTGAGGTGGTGTTTTGCTGTTGTCACCCAGGCTGGCATACAGTGGCATAATCTCAGCCCCACTGAAACCTCTGCCTCCTGTGTTCAAGCCATTCTCCTACGTGAGCCTCCTGAGTACCTGGGATTACAGGCACCAACTACCACAGCCAACTGTAGAGATGGGGTTTCCCCATGTTAGCTAAACTAGTCTTGAACTCCTGACCTCAGGAGATTCACCAGCCTTGGCTGCCGCCCAAATTGCTGGGTTTACGAGTGTGAGCCACCATGCCCAACCAAACAGCTAAATTTCACTCATTACATTTTAACAAACGCTGAATAGGATCTCACCCTTGTTTTACTCTCCTCTTCTCAGAGTATGCTCAGGTAATTAAAATGCTGGGGAATGGACGATTGGAAGCATTGTGTTTTGATGGTGTAAAGAGGTTATGCCATATCCGAGGAAAATTGAGAAAAAAGGTAGGTGTGTAGATTTCTTTTACTTCAATTTAAAAAAGTCTCTGCTTTAAATACATGGTCTAAGCAATTTGAGTTCTCAAAATAATTTATACAAACGTGACTCATGACAATAAGAATAAACAGAAAAGGTCTTTGATAACTTTTAGATTTACTTTTAAAGAATAATTCCTTTGTTTGACTTAAGTGTTTACTCTGATGTTAGTATTGACTAAATCACATGTTTTAATATATAATACAAATCGTCTTGACTCAAATGTTAATACTTTGAAACAATAAAAAATGTGGGAATTTACATTAAAAGAGACTAATTGCTGCATATTCCTTCATTAGGTTTTGTCTTGGTTGAAATAGTTGTAGGTGGTATGAGGAAAATTGGAATATGAAATGGTAGACAGCAGATTTGTTACAATACCATATCAGGTAGTTTTATAAATCAAATTGATTAAAAGTCTGTGGTACTTAAATTTTATAATTAAAATAATAAAAACTTTATTTTGGCTGAGCTCTCTACAAGTATTAGCCAGCATATACCTATAGTTCCATCTCCTCAGGAGGCTTAAGGCAGGATGATTGCTTGAACCCCGGAGCGCAAGGTTGCCATGAGCTAAGAATTCTGCTAATGCACTTCAGTTTGGGTGACAGAGTGAGAGTTTCTATCTCAAACAAAAAGAAGAAAATAGAATCTATTTGGTGTGTTCACATGCTTTCATTTCCAAATTAGTGGCACTTTTATGGGTTCTCTTAGTCCGTTTGGGCTACCATCACAAAGTACCTTTGACTGGGTAGATTATAAACAACAGAAATTTTATTTCTCATAGCTCTAGAGAAAGAGAAATCCATTTAATATTGGTGATGACCCATTTTCTCATTCATATGTGGTGCCTTCTGCATTCTCCACATATTTTAGAAGAGATGAATGAGCTCCCTTGGGCCTCTTTTATAAGGGCAAAAATCCCATTCATCAGGGATCAGCCCTCATTACATAATCACCTCCCAAAGGCCCAACCTCCTAGTACCATGGGATTCAAATTTCGACATAAATCTTGAGGAATACAAACGTTAAGGCAATAGCAGAGGCTATATTTATGTAGATTGGGTGCTTTAGAATCATTTTGTTTAGATACATCTTGTTTGTTGTTTAGATACAAATGTTTGTTAGAAACATTTTTAGATACAATTGCATGTCTGAATTTCTACCACAAAGGATTATCTGGAATTCTAAATTCTTGAGTAATTGGAATAAAATTGTTATGATTTTTAACATTCTAAGAAAGAAAATTTTAACAAACTCAATTGGTACTGTAATTTTTTCCATGCCAGACCTTAACTATGTGCTACATACCACTATACTATGTATATATGTTACAGGTTTTTTTTTCCCAATTTTATGAGACAGGATCTCTGTGCTCTAGGCTGGAGTACAGTGGCATAGTCATCACTCAACTGCAGCCTCCACCTCAAGTAGTTCTCCCATATCAGCCTTCTAAAGTAACTGCAGGCATGTGCTACTACACCCAACTTTTTGAAATTTTTTGACTCTTTGTACAGTCTAGGCATCTCTATGTTTTCTAGTTTTGGTGTCAAACTCCTGTGCTCAGGTGATCCTCCTGCCTTAGCGTCCCAAAGTGCTGGGATTATAGGCATGAGACACCTGGCCTGGCATCAAAGTTTATTTTTTTTCACATTAGGTGAATAGCGTATCCGTTTTATGGGAAGATTCACTAAACATTCTCCTTCTTATTTGCTTTTATTTTTAAAATAATCTGCATAAATTTCTTACAGGTTTGGATAAATACTTCAGACATTATATTGGTTGGTCTACGAGACTATCAGGTAAAAATAACATCTAAGTATGTGTTGTGTCTTTAAAAGTAGTCGTTGATGTTTAGAAGATACCAACTAGCATCTTTAACTTGTTCCAGCCCCGTATACTTTCTCAGGGTTCTGCCAGCATCATTATTTAGGGCCAGTTGTGTTTAAGACTGTAAAATTTTTCAAATTCAGAATAATTTGCACAGATAGTTAATGGTACATGTATTTTGTGGAAAGATATAATTTGTTTTAATTCTTTGATTTTATTATTAATACCGTGTGTAGTAAATATTTTCTTGCAGGTTCGGACAAGTAGACCATTCTGTCGTCATCCATTTAAACGCTAGTGGTTAGGCATTTCAGACATGAAATAGTATTGGAGTAGGCTGAATTTCAGTGCTTTGAAGTCATATTAGAAGATATGTAGTTGTTTTTCATGGAACACAATTTTTTGTTTTTAAATATGTTTTTAATATTTTTAAAAATGAGAATGATAGTATATAGGTAGTAATTTTTTATTAGTATCCTGATATGTCAAAGCAAAATTTAATAATTTTGGAGACTCATGTTCTTAATATTATTTTAATATTTTGAAACTTAGTTGGGAAACCGCAAGTCGAGATGATGCTGTTGAATAAGTCAGTTCTCCTCTAAGAGTTTTTTGGTTTTGTAGTATAAAGTTACGCATGCACACAAGTAGTTACAGTACAGACTGTTGTATTTGCTTTAATTTTAAGAGGAGCAGTATAGAACAAAGACAGGAGTAGCCATTTATCTCTAACCTTGAAACTATTTACATGTCATAGGTCTATAAAATCCATTTGATTACTGCCCATCTTAACCACATTAAAATTACTGCTATGTCTGGATTCTTATTCTCTTGCTACTGGTTGGAGTTTCGTGTAGTCATCTGTTAAGTCTAGTTGCTTGCTAGTGTTAAAGTCTTCTGTCCACCTTTTTAGGTATCTTAATTTATTTCTTAAAAACTGAACATCTTATTTTATTTTATTATTTTTTTTTCTTATTTTTTTCTTTTTTTATTGCATTTTAGGTTTTGGGGTACATGTGCAGAGCATGCAATACAGTTGCATAGGTACACACATGGCAGTGTGTTCTGTTTGCTTTCACCCCTTCACCCACATTTGGCGTTTCTCCCCAGGCTATCCCTCCCCAACTCCCCCTCCCACTGGCCCTCCCCTTTTCCCCGCAATAGACCCCAGTGTTTAGTACTCCCCTCTCTGTGTCCATGTGTTTTCATTTTTCATCACCTGCCTATGAGTGAGAATATGCGGTGTTTCATTTTCTGTTCTTGTGTCAGTTTTGAGAATGATGTTCTCCAGATTCATCCATGTCCCTGCAAACGACACGAACTCATCATTTCTGATTGCTGCATAATATTCCATGGTGTATATGTGCCACATTTTCCCAATCCAGTCTATCATCGATGGGCATTTGGGTTGATTCCAGGTCTTTGCTGTTGTAAACAGTGCAGCAATACACATTCGTGTGCATGTGTCCTTATAGTAGAATGATTTATAGTCCTTTGGGTATATACCCAGTAATGGGATTGCTGGGTCAAATGGAATTTCTATTTCTAAGGCCTTGAGGAATCGCCACACTGTCTTCCACAATGGTTAGACTAATTTACACTCCCACCAACAGTGTAAAAGTGTTCCTTTTTCTCCACATCCTCTCCAGCATCTGCTGTCTCCAGATTTTTTAATGATTGCCATTCTAACTGGCATGAGATGGTATCTCAATGTGGTTTTGATTTGCATCTCTCTGATGACCAGTGACGATGAGCATTTTTTCATATGATTCGCATATATGTCTTCTTTCATAAAGTGTCTGTTCATATCCTTTGCCCACTTTTGAATGGGCTTGTTTGTTTTTTTCTTGTAAATCTGTTTGAGTTCTTTGTAAATTCAAAAGGATATCAGCCCTTTGTCAGATGGGTAGACTGCAAAAATTTGTTCCCATTCTGTTGGTTGCCGATCCACTCTAGTGACTGTTTCTTTTGCCATGCAGAAGCTGTGGAGTTTGATTAGGTCCCATTTTTCTATTTTGGCTTTTGTTGCCAATGCTTTTGGTGTTTTGTTCATGAAGTCCTTGCCTACTCCTATGTCCTGGATAGTTTTGCCTAGATTTCCTTCTAGGGTTTTTATGGTGCCAGGTCGTGTGTTTAAGTCTTTAATCCATCTGGAGTTAATTTTAGTGTAAGGTGTCAGGAAGGGGTCCAGTTTCTGCTTTCTGCACATGGCTAGCCAGTTTTCCCAACACCATTTGTTAAACAGGGAATCCTTTCCTCATTCCTTAAAGATTGTCTAGTTGTAGATATGTTGTGTTTTCTCCGGTGCCTCTGTGTTGTTCCATATGTCTATATCTTTGTGTTGGTACCGTTACCATGCTGTTTTGATTACTGTAGCCTTGTAGTATAGTTTGAAATCCGGTAGTGTGATTCCCCCCGCTGTGTTCTTTTTGCTTAGAATTGACTTGGCTATGCGGCCTCTCTTCTGGTTCCATATGAAGTTCATGGTGGTTTTTTCCAGCTCTGTGAAGAAAGTCAATGGTAGCTTGATGGGGATAGCGTTGATTCTGTAAATTACTTTGGGCAGTATAGCCATTTTCACGATATTAATTCTTCCTAACCATGAACATGGACTGTTTCTCCATCTGTTTGTGTCCTCTCTGATTTCGTTGAGCAGTGGCTTGTAGTTCTCCTTGAAGAGGTCTCTTATGTTCCTTGTGAGTTGTATTCCAAGGTATTTTATTCTTTTTGTAGCAATTGTGAATGGCAGTTCTTTCTTTAAGTTTGTTATTGGGGTAGACGAATGCTTGTGATTTTTACACATTGATTGTATATCCTGAGACTTTGCTGAAGTTGCTTATCAGTTTCAGGAGTTTTTGGGCTGAGGCGATGGGGTCTTCTAGGTATACTATCATGCCGTCTGCAAATAGAGACAATTTGGCTTCCACCTTTTCTATTTGAATACCCTTTATTTCTTTTTCTTGCCTGATTGCTCTGGCTAGAACTTCCAGTACTATATTGAATAGGAGTGGTGAGAGAGGGCATCCTTGTCTAGTGCCAGATTTCAAAGGGAATGCTTCCAGTTTTTGCCCATTCAGTATGATATTGTCTGTTGGTTTGTCATAAATAGCTTTTATTACTTTGAGATACGTTCCATCGATACCGAGTTTATTGAGGGTTTTTAGCATAAAGGGCTGTTGTGTTTTGTCAAATGCCTTCTCTGCATCAATTGAGATAATCATGTGGATTTTGTTTTTGGTTCTATTACGTTTATAGACTTGCGTATGTTGAACCAGCCTTGCATCCCTGGGATGATTCCTACTTGATTGTGATGAATAAGTTTTTTGATTTGCTGTTGCAATCGGCTTGCCAATATTTTATTGAAGATTTTTGCCTCTATGTCCATCATGGATATTGGCCTGAAGTTTTCTTTTCTTGTTGGGTTTCTGCCGGGTTTTTGGTATCAGGATGATGTTGGTCTCATAAAATGATTTGGGAAGGATTCCCTTTTTTTGGATTATTTGGAATAGTTTTAGAAGGAATGGTTCGAGCTCCTCTTTGTGTGTCTGGTAGAATTCGGCTTTGAACTTGTCTGGACCTGGGCTTTTTTTGAGTCGTAGGCTCTTAATTGCTGCCTCGACTTCTGACCATGTTATTGGTCTATTCATAGTTTCAGCTTCCTCCTTATTTAGGCTTGGGAGGACACAGGAGTCCAGGAATTTATTTATTTCTTCCAGGTTTACTAGTTTATGTGCATAGATGTTTGTAATGTTCTCTGATGATGGTTTGAATTTCTGTGGAGCTCTGTCGTGATTTCCTCGTTTATCATTTTTTAATGCATCTGTTTGGTTGTTCTCTCTTTTAGCTTGTAATCAATCTGGCTAGTGGTATGTCTATCTTGATGATCTTTTCAAAAACCAGCTCTTGGATTTATTGATTTTTTGAAGGGTTTTTCGTGTCTCAATCTCCTTCAGTTCAGCTCTGATCTTAGTTATTTCTTGTCTTCTGCTGGGTTTAGAGTTCTTTTGATCTTGCTCCTCTAGCTCTTTCAATTTTGACGATAGGGTGTCCATTTTGTATCTCTCCATTCTCCTCATATGGGCACTTATTGCTATATACTTTCCTCTAGAGACTGCTTTAAATGTGTCCCAGAGATTCTGGCATTTTGTGTCTTCGTTGTCATTGGTTTCGAAGAACTTCTTTATTTCTGCCTTCATTTCATTGTTTTACTCAGTCAACATTCAAGAGCCAGTTGTTCAGTTTCCGCTGTGCGGTTCTGGATTGGTTTCTGAATTCTGAGTTCTAACTTGATTGCACTATGGTCTGAGAGGCTGTTTGTTATGATTTGGGTTGTTTTGCATTTGCTGAGCAGTGCTTTACTTCAATTCTGTGGTCAATTTTAGAGTAGGTGTTATGTGGTGCTCAGAAAAATGTATATTCTGTGGATTTGGTGTGGAGAGTTCTGTAAATGTCTATCAGGTTTGCTTGCTCCAGGTCTGAGTTCAAGCCCTGGATATCTTGTTGATTTTCTGTCTGTTGATCTGTCTAATATTGACAGTGGAGTGCTAATGTCTCCCACTATTATTGTGTGGGAATCTAAGTCTCTTTGTAAGTCATTAAGAACTTGCCTTATGTATCTGGGTGCTCTTGTATTGAGTCCATATATGTTTAGGATCGTTAGCTCTTGTTGTATCGATCCTTTTGCCATTGTGTAATGGCCTTCTTTGTCTCTTTTGATCTTTGTCGCTTTAAAGTCTATTTTAT